TTGTTATAGAGTTTGAAACTATCAACTAACTACTAAAACTAACATTGTCTCTTAAGCCAATGCTACTAGCATGCTGGCTGTGTTTAATGCCACTCAGAGCCATTGTAAAAGGATCTGCAAGATTGTCTTTTGATGATACTCGCTTCACTATGAGGTGACCTTCTTCAACCCTATTTCTAATGTAATGGTACTTTCTGTCGATATGATTGGATCTACCATGATCCTTTGGTTCTTTTGTCAAAGCAACCACCCCTTCATTATCAAAAAAAGTTCCATTGGCTCTTGAATGGTCAGGACTACTCTGAGATTGTCGATGAAGTTCTTCAACCAAGCTGCTTCCTTTGATGCCTTACTTTATGCGATGTACTCTTATTAACGAGTAGAATCAATCACCATATCCTGCTAAAAACTTTTCCAAGTCACTGCTCCACTATTTAACACGAACTTTTGGATTAAGGTATCTAAGGTCCTAACTAAATTCTTATAATGTTGATAATAAAAGAAAAGTCCTTTTTGGGTTGCCCTTATAACCAATAAATTTCTTAGCTTGATTATTGGAGAGAGATAAATGCTTAGTGAGTTCCCTAGAGCATACCCCCACACAATCCACATAATCACATAATCCATATTAGCTATATAAGCTACATGAACCACATAATCCATGCATACAAACATATAAGGATGTCGTGGACTCCTCCCAGGGTCTTATACCTACTTACCATTGGCTCCCCCACATGATCTTTACCTAGGAATGTCATGGGCTCCCCCTCATGGTCTTATATCCAACTGCCAGGGGCTCCCCCCCACCCACCCCTAGGGTCTTCCATGCAAATAACATAATAATCAATTATCATATCATATATCACATAAATATCTATCATGCTACATAACTCTTAAATAAACATATAGGGATGCTGTAGACTCCCTCTAGGGTCTTAATCGTATGTGCCATTAGCTCCCCCACATGGTCTTAACTACTTGCTATCGGCTCCCCCACATGGTCTTTACCTAGGAATTCCATGGGCTCCCCGGATGGTCTTATATCCAACTGCCATGGGCTCCCCCGGGGTCTTCACATATCCAGTCATTAAGTACTAGCACATTCTCATATACATGCATACCAGACATAACAATAGTGAATCCAAAATAACACTACAACTATCTAAATGGGTCGGCCATGGTGCCTTCGACCCATTGGTATGGTGAGGAGACTCACCTCTGTCTGGTGAATCTGAAAGTTTCTCGCCTAACAGTCCGTGACCACCTGTGCTGAACAATAACACCATTAACCCAAGGTTAGTGTTGAATATAATCCATTTAAAGAACCTAAGCCCCAAATCCTTTCATAATGGCCTAAAAGTCTCCCATTTCTAATGGGCTCAAAGTCCATGTCCAAAAATCTTTAATGGGCCTCATGGCCCAATAAAGCCCAACCATAGCAATCATTGCCCAAAATAGATAAATGGGCCCACTAACTCAAAACATGACCAAACCCAATGACTGATTAGGGCCCAAAGGGCTTACATGCCCAAAAGAAGTCCAAGTCCATCAGAGTGTGTACGCCCTGCATACAACTCCTGTACGCTTAGCATACTTAGTCCCTAAGTTGTACGCGCTGCGTACACTAAACTACGCCCAACATACAAGCAGATTAAGCACCTTCTTTCATTAAGTTCTTAGTACTTAATGTTCCAATGTCCAATCTTTAGATCTAAGTCCATTAAGACGTCCTAAGGCATAAAGTTGGCAACTTTATGACTTTACATGTTCCATATGCTCCTAACAACCTATTAAGACCTTTCCAAGAGTCTTAATCCAGGCATGAGGTCAAAACACCCATCAAGACTCCATTTTTATCCTATGAATGGACCAAAGGACTTCAAATCTATCCTCCCTAAGCTCTGGAGGTGCTTAAACTCTCAAGAGGTGCCAAGAACACAAAAAGGGACCAAAGAGAAAACCCTAGCTCTAGGAATGAAAATTATGAACAAGGTGAAAGCTTTTTACCTCCTCAAGCTTCCTAAGCTGCTCAAAATGTAAGATCGAGAAACTCTTCCTCGTTCAAGCTTGATTCATCCTCTACCTTATAGCTAACACACCAAAAGGATGGTGTTTGAACACTAACAAGCTCACGAACACACTCTTTAATGATTTTAGGGTTTTCAGAAACATTTGAGGGTGAAAGAGGCTAGTTAGGGTTTGAACATTTTTCACGTACGCCCTATATACCCTTTGGTATACCCAACATATGTGCTGGCCCTCCACGATCATCCATGCAAGGTACGCTAAGCGTACTCCTGAAGTACGCCAAACATACTTAATGGACCATTATGCAATACTTAAAGTTTCAAAGGGTTAAAGGGTAATGCCTGGTTTGAGTGTTACACTTTCTCTTCTCATGATTAGAAAACAGACTTCTGGTAGGTTTTTTTTTTTTTTTTGCAGAGGTACAATGAGTCTTCGATTCCAATCCTTTTCACCCAAAATTTATAACATGGTCACACACAATGACACATGCCTAAGACATTTTTAGTCAAAACGAAATAGGAAATAAGTATGTTAAAACTCTATGCTTATGATTCTAAATCATTTTTCCGTGACGAAGGTGAAACCCCACAATACTCAACTTTATTAATTGATGATGAACATTTTATGTTCAAGGTTTTAATGAAACAATTGTTTCACTGTACCACTTTCAATGTTCAAATTATTATTTCATTCTTGATGTGTGAAATTAATAAAATGTACTTATACGAAGTCAAATTTGCCCAATAGATCCAGATTTTCAAAAAAATTGAAATAAGATTTCCTTTCGAACATATGTTCCTTCTCTTTCGTTACTTCAAATTTTTCCAAACATACTTGTTCTTGACTACACTAGTCATCCAAGTAATTTTGCACAATAATTCACAATTATGTCAAGTTGTGAATTTGTGTAAAAATGTAGCCACCCTTGAACCTATTGAAAAATAGGCCCTTCGATACTTATCAATGAGTTTTTGTATTGTAATTCACGGGATATCGCACAAACACTTCGTCATCTCTCTTGATGTCGAATGAAATATATCTTTTCCCTGAATCTATCTCCTTTTATATAAAAGATTCTTTGATATCACAATACCATTTTTTATATTTTTCTTCTATTATTTTCCTTTGGCACACATATGCACTGAAATCCTTGAGGTTTTGAGTATTACCAACTCGAAACTTAGATTTTGCAAAGTCTGACACATTATTTCATGTATCAATCCCATAAGTGAATGAGCCCAGCCTCCATGCCGAAGGATGGTTCTCTTATGGTAACGAAACTTATTATGGTTATTTTAAGGTTAGAAGAAGCGAAAGTTCCAGTGAATGTGACGGTTCAAAGACTTTAGGAAAAACGTGATCATTACTTTTACACGTGGCAGCTTTTTATGGTGGCGGTTAAGTAACTCATATTGCACATGTAGTTATCTGATTAGACAATGATTTAAATTCAAATTTAACGTCGGTTACTTAAGGAAACTTTTCATTCCAATTCCAAGTTTATGCTCTCAGAATTCTCTCATGAACCCTAACTTTTCATCGCAAAACTTTTTCTCCAAAATTCTCTCAATGGCTGCTAAGCAACAGGTTGTCAATCAATTCAACACTAATGAGAAAGAGGTTTCACAACCGATGATGAAAATTGAACAAACTAATTTGTGGATTAATCCATTGCTTGATGGTTATCCTAAAGAACTACAGATGATCATATTGGTTTTGAACAATTTTATTCTTAATCATGCTTTATCATCAACTTTTTCAATTTCGATGCAATGGCTTTATTTGGTGGCTTCTACTGCTGTGTATAACAAAATGTCGAAGATTATTACATTTCAATTGATGTCCAGTAAAACAAAGAAACAGTTTGCCCATATATTGAATGTACTGTCTATATGTACATTTTAAGATGTTACTAATGAACAGGTCATTCACATGTTCAATGAGATAGGTCATCAATCCACTTTATCAGCTATTAGTCAACTTAAGAAGTCCAGTTTTCCATGTATTTGGAGTTTCTTGTTCGGAATTATTCTTTTGTGTTTAATAGGACGAATTTTAGGGTTATAAAAGGCAAAACTAGAAGTTTAGTCGATTATGGATAGGATATACTATGGAGTTGATGTTGATTATGCATCATTATTATGGGAAGAATTTGGGAATTCTATTTCTCATTCCAAACTAGCATCCGGTATTTTGAGTGCTAGGTTTTGGGGGTTGATTCTAAGGGACGTAAATACTCAAGAAAATATATTGTTTCCTAATGATGTCGAAACAACATATTTGCATCAATGTCGGTTCAAAAGGTCTTGGTGGATGATGGGACAGTATTTCCATCTATTTCTAGGATCTCTGAGCAATACTCAAAATAATTAATCCCACGTATCAGTTATTAATTCAATACCAAGCTGCAATGGATTCTACATCATCTAGTATTCTTCCACCGAGGGCTACATCTTAGGGTGCTAAAGGTACATCGAAATCATCTAAGGGTCAAAAGAAGTACACGAATGTACTCACCAAGACTGGTAAATGGGTAACAAAATTCCCATGGAGAATCTTGTTCCCAGTTTAGCTATAATTACACAAGAAGGTGAACAAGATGCAAAAAATAGCGGTCCAAAAAGAGTTAAAAAGTTATAGTTTACACAAAAAAGAGTTGTGATTCGAGAGGTTTCGTCTCCTAGTTCTCCTACATCGACAAAGAGGAATGCATTGGATGTAGCACACAAGTTAAAGAAGTTAAAGCTAAATCCTTTTGAGGACAATATAGATGATGTTATAGTGGAATCAACAATTGATGGTGATGGAATAGATACTGAAATGGGAGGTTCATTTCATGTGTCACCAGTAAAGCATACCCCTGCCAAATCGACTGTCTAGGAGACAATTATTCGTAATGTCAATGCAGACATATCTAATATGGATGTAACATTGATTCTCGTATACAATAGACCATAATAATCCTTGAACAAATGAAAGTTATACCATCCAGGGTTTCGAATACTGAGTCCTTTATGGAGGACGTCGAAATTACAGACATCATTGTGAACTTATATGATAAGGATTCAAATATCAACATGGAGGAAGGGATGCATAATGTTGAAATAACAACTGTTACCATAAATATTGAAACTTCTATTATTCCTCAACCACAACCAACTTCTCCACCACCTAAATTAGTTGCCCCATCTTCGTATACTACTGCTATTTCTCTAACTTTTGTTGGTATAATGCAAGAACCTATAGCTACACTTTTCTCTTCTCAATCTACAGATCATGAGAAAACCATTACTGAAGCTGAAGCATATGAAGATGATGTCTTGGTTTCCTTTTTTGAGTTGCAATTCAATCCTGATGAAGAAGATATACCTGATTATTTGATCATGTCGGGTAAGCAATTCAAGATTCTAAACATTAAGATGAAAATGATACTTCAATTTTTGGTTGACACTAGAACCAAGAATTCAGTTAGTGGTGTTGAAGTGGAATATATTTTCAAGTCCCAAGAGTCTTGATTTAAAACTTTTATTGAAAATCTTAATAAAAGATATGAACATAGGATGGACACTCAATCAATAAATTTTGATCATTAACTTTCGAAACTTCATGATGCGGCCAAAGAACGTCATGAAATGTTTGAGAAATAACTGTCTGATACAAAGGATTCTCTTGAGCATCTGGTTAATGACCTTTAAAATTTAATATCTAAATAGGTTAAGAAGTTAGATCATAATTACAATATTCTACATAAAATGGTTGATGTTATAGTTGATGCACCTACTTGTATGTGATAACGTTTATTTTATGCATATATTTATGATGTTTTTTTATTATTTTATACCATGTTTTTATATTATTTAGAACTAAAAGATACTTAATATGCTTTGGAATATTCAGTTACAGTTAAAATGGGAGCTAGAATGCAAAAGGAAGAAAATGGAGTTGAAAAGATGCAAAAAGGATATTGCTGGCAGATTGACCCCTCTTTAGTATTTCGGGTATATCTTATGACTCGTAAGACTAATTGGCTAGATTCAAAATGTTTTGAAAACTAGACAAAATTTCCTATGACTTATGTGAGAGCGCATTTTTTCTATTTCCGCATTTATCTTATCCAAAATCGGCCTTGAAGATGAAGCATAAAAGCTGGACGGAAATTCCCTCCAAGTTACTTATTCCCCAAGCATCACTTACCTTATTTTTATTTGCTTAATCCCTAAGCCACCATTAGTTTACTTATTCCAATCCAACTCTAATATTCCATATTAGTTCCATCTCCCTTCAACTATAAATACCCCATATCATTCCACCATTTTCATAATCTATGATATTCCGCTTCGACTTGTGCAACAAGAAAACTTCATAGCTGCCGTTTTTAGGGTCTAGAAGGCGGCCAGAGGGCCGTTAAGCTGATATGGAGCAAAGATCTAAGGAATTGGAGAGTTGATTCATTTCGGTAATCATGTGGTTTGTTATCATGGCCATGTTTAGCATTCCATTGTGATTCCATTATGTGTTTACTTTCTAATTTAGGTGTAAAAAACCTTTTACTTTGAGTTTATGATTAAATAAAACCTTGATTATTGGATTAATTGCTATATTGGATTGTTTGTGTTTAATTTATCTTGACAAGCTTGTTAAAAGATCCTTACATGTTAATGATAATTATTTGCTGTTAATTGCCAAGTAAATTAAGTTGTATGAACATCTGCTTGATTGCTTGTCTCTTATGATTTTGATGACCATCAAGATTATATGTCTAAGAATAACGAATGTGAAACTAGGATTAACTCGGAAATAAGTAAGTTAATGTGTGATCCTTGTGTGATAAACCATCAACAAGAGGTTAATTGAATTAGTAATTTGATTAACTATTATTCCAAGTCTTGCTTGATACGAACTGAACACTAGGAAGCATGTTAGTTTAATCAACTGATCAATGTTTGAATTGACTTGTTTGCTAAAGGATTAGTATTAGTGAACACGAATCTAATCATTTTAGGAATCGGTGAACATGAATAAATGAATTTGTGTATGCAGTTGTCTATGCTTTTAAGGTGTAATTTATCTAAACAAAAGTACCTGAAGAGATTCGTTTAGTTTATCGAGATTTGTTAATTAATTGTTCGTTTGAGATTTAATAAACCATTTCTTTACTGCTTTTATGTGTCTTGTGTAACCTATAATTAAATATTTTAAATTAATTTACTACCGTTCCCCTTGAGTTCGACACCCTTGATTATGAAAGCTATACTATACTCGATCGGGTTCACTGCCTGTAAGGTGTGGTTTAGATGCGATAAATTAGGAATTATAAATAAAAAAACTAGTGCATTAAAAATTCACATCAGTATGATCGAAGATATCACTACTTTCAACAAAGATTATTCACAGGTCTAAAAGTTATGATTGAGAAGGGTGATACTGTGTTTAAGAAAGTTGAAGAATTCTTATCTGACTTTAGAGAGACATTATCGAAATTTTATCTTTCAACTCAATCTTCTATTTTTCAAGAATCCATCTCTGCTATGCTTTCGAATATTGAGTTAAGTATCAAGGCTTAGTTGGCTCCGATCCTAAATATGGAACTTTGACTAACCACTAATGTTAAAAGGTTCTATGCACGTTTCATAAGGGGGAGATAGAGGTGATGTAGTGGTTTGTCGAAGCTTTCTGGTGAAGATTTAGGAGTATTTTTGGGAAAGTCACGTTTATGCAATTTCTAACGAAAATTCAATCGATGCCAGCTATCACAACTTCAACAACAACCACTATAATAGGAAATGCTAAACAATCGAAAGTAAAGAGAACAAGATAAATTTCAATTAATTAAGGAGCTGGAGGTTCGGGTTTTACCCTTATCAAATCCATCACAAATCTTGATCCAAAAGACAAAGGGAAAGTCATTCAAGCTAAAAAAATAGTTGAAGAGAAGAAAATATTACAAGCAATAGAGTTGGGGGAAGCAAAGGCAAATTAACAAAATTCTTAGACAAAGGGAAAATGATCCACCATGTTTTAAAAAGGTGATCTTAACAATCAATGGTATTACGAAATGATTGAAATTGTTGTTCTTGGTAAAAATGATGAATTTTTGAAAAATTCAAAGAAAAGCTATGGCATAGACAAACATAGCCTAATCCACCCCGAAGCATAGGGAACCTCCCCATCACTAGAAGAAAGCCCCAGAGCCTGCCATCCGCCTGGTGTCCATGTTCCTCGTAAGTACGTTGGATCTTCGCTCCATCATGCTTCAGGCCTTGTCACTGATCTCCATTACTTCGTGATGGAGAGTATGAACCTAAATGTTCCAACAGGCCTCTTATGTCTCCCCTTAATAGAGTAAGGTTCATTAATGATCTCTCTAGTTCCTTTCTCTTCGTCTGATCCCTTATCAGAATTCACCTCATGAACTCCTTATGGTTCTTCTTCAACTCTTCTATTGGTGGTTGTAGTGGAGTGGCTATGTCTATCTATGATGTTCATGCGAGAATAGGGGTACATATAGAATTTATGTGGTTAATATAAGTGTTTCTAATGAAATTTTTATGGTGACCTTACCGAGTCCTCTTATAATCACGCAGTATATACAAGTTGTATATAACTAAGACCGAATAGACCTTCAAATAAGTGACCCTACTCTAAGACCACAACCAAACAAGGAACAAGAAGTAGAGCGAAGGTCGTAAATTCTAAGTCTATAATATCTTAATTATATATAACCAAGGGGAAGGAACTTTTATCAATCACGTGAACTGAACTCGCAACCTGCTTGAAAGATTTAGGATGAAGAATTGCATGAAAGCTAAAGTTCCCATGGGGAGTTGGCACACGCTCAAGTCCTTCATTGGATAAGCCTATTTTTAATCTCAAAACATATAGGAGCATTATCAATTCGCTTTTGTACTTAACTGCAAGTAGACAATTCTTGTAGTGTTTCACAATACGTGCAGGAGAATTTTAGGGTTAAATATTTTATTTATATTATTGATCAAGAAATTACTTCTTTAACTACAAGGTTTGAACAATATCATATGATAAAATATTTAGTTTTTTGTTTAATTTAGAAAAATACTTTCAATAGATGATGTAACTCTAAAGTCTTGTTGTAAGTCTCTTGAAACTTCACTCAAGAAATATGAACACTCAGATATTTATGGAAATGACTTATATTTTTTGTTAACAGCTTAATATTAACATTGAATACCATCTAGACAGTAGCTAGAGAAAAAAAGAATACAAATAACCTTAGATCATTGGATTTTAAAGTCACAATGACTAAGTTATAGTATTTCTACTATATCTACCAACAACCCATTGAAAAGAAGTAATAACAATGTTCTCGAAAAGGGAACTCCTAAACATAGGTGGTGAATTAAATATCACATTATTCCTGTATCTCCATATGAACCAAATCATAGTCAACACAATAACATCCAACACCTTCCTCTTCTTGACATTAACCCTAATCGATTCAACCCAATAAAATAACTCCAAAATATTAGAGAAAAGAGGGAAAGAGATTTCCAACCACTTAATCACCTGAATCCATATCTGATTCGCTACATCGCAAGAAACAAACACATCATTCACTTCCTTACTAGCTGACATACACGTAACACACATCACCGAGGGAAAATCGATGATTTTGACATCCAAGTTGTTCCTAGTAGGAAGTCTATCCAAGAGAACACACCAAAGAAGAACATTAACCTTGATCGGAACTAAACAACGCCATCTAGTAGCAATAGAACCAGAAGGAAGGGTACACTTTTCTATATAACACCTAGTACTACCAACTGTAAAGTCTTCATATCTCTCTAGCTCCTACTCCCACCTATCACTGCTATCCGAGAACACCACCTGAGACAACATCCTAATTAATTATGCAAGTTGATCAGCAGAAACACCACCCGTGATATCCATACCCAAGCCCAAAACTAATCATCATTTTGCCATCTATCAGCCACAAAACAATCTTTTTGAGTCTCCAGTGCATAAAGCCTTGGAAATTGAACCATTAAACTCACATTCCATAACCAAACGTCGTGCCAAAACCAAGTACCATTCCTATTCCTCATTGATTTTCGTAAAAAAGAATGGGGCAAAACCGCATCAACATGTAACTTATCCCACATCTTCAATATAGACAACCACACTCCATGACCTCTTGGCATAATATGAGAGGTACCAATAAGCCCTTGAGAATATATACTTCTAATCACCTTAATGCAAATGGAGTTTGTATCAGTATGGAATATCCATTTCCACTTATAAATAAAAGCCAAATTAAAGACCTTCAAGCTACCAATCCCTATATCTGTGTAATTTAACACCAACTCCCACATGACTTAGGAAATTTTCCATACCTTTTCCTCAGCACCCCAGAAAAATCAAGATTTCAAGGATTCAACCATCCTATACACAACCTCAGGAGCCTTGAACAACGACATATAGTAAATACCAAGGCTACCAAGAACAACTTTTGACAGGGTTAATCTGTCACCTACTAAAA